ATAGCTCCTGAACAAGTTAAAATAACAGATGGGAGGAAAGTCCAAACAATGAGCTAGATTATTCTTGCAGTAACTTTTGCAGAGCTACATAGAACACAAAGGAGGCGGAAGCTTAAAAGGGTTGCAGGGTGAGAGAAAAGTTCAGCTGTTTGCTAGCAGCTGGAAACAAGTAAGCAAAATTTAAACAGTGACATAAAGAAGAAAGATGATACCCAAGACAAAATCTAATCTCTCCCTCCTCCAATGTGCACAGGGTATGGGAATGTATACATGGTAGCTTTGCACATTATCGTCACATAGGACGCCAGCACTCTATTCCAGTGACCCAAGGAGAAGTAAATATGCAAGGGCGTTTTTGGTGGGATCGAGAACATTTAAAGTACCCAGGAGCCCTTTGACTTGTGGCATGACTATGGCAATACTGTTGGCAGTCTGATTCTTTTACCTTCTTCAGTATTTGCCGTTTGGTTTTGCAACTGATAACACCAATTAGAAATTAGAAGGGTGGGCCGGCTGTGGGGGCTTAGGCCTGTAATCCCAGAACTTTGAGAGACCAAGGTGGTTGGATTACCTGAGGTCAAGAGTTCAAGACCAGCCTGACCAACATGGTGAAACGCCGCCTCTACTAAATACATAAAATTAGCCAGGTGTGGAGGTGCGTGCCTGTAATCCCAGCTACTTGGGAGGCTGAGGCAGGAGAATCATTTGAACCTGGAAGGCTTGCAGTGAGCGGAGATTGTGCCATTGCACTCCAGCCTGGACAAGAGCAAAACTCCAAGAAAAGAAAGAAAGAAAGAAAGAAAGAAAGAAAGAAAGAAAGAAAGAAAGAAAGAAAGAAAGAAAGAAAGAAAGAAAGAAAGAAAGAAAGAAAGAAAGAAAGAAAGAAAGAAAGAAAGAAAGAAAGAAAGAAAGAAAGAAAGAAAGAAAGAAAGAAAGAAGGAAAGAAAGAAAGGAAGGAAGAAAGGAAGGAAGGAAGGAAGAAAGAGAAAGAAAAGAAAGAAAGAAAAGAAAGGAAGGAAGGAAGGGAGGAAAGGAGGGAGAGAAAGAGAGAAAGAGAGAGAGGGAGGGAGAGAGAGAGAGGGAGGGAAGAAAGGAGGGAAGAAATTAGAAGGGTGGAGCTTCACTTTCGTGCACAGATGGGGGAATAATGTGATACTTTGGAGATCACTGGATTTGGTCAGCATTTTCAAAACTGGTAACAAAAAGAGATGTTAATTGGTGCTTCACAGCTCTAGTCAAATAAGCTTAGAAAATCTGTCCTCAATTCCTTCTTGGATATTCTTTAGTGTATTGAAGGATATTGCAAAGGAATCTGTTTAATGGCAAGTCAAGTCAATTTCCTTGTGCTGGGGAAGACCTTTATTTCAATAGCCCCTGTAGAGTTTGGGAAGTCTTCAACACAGTTTAAATGCACTGTCACACTTATGTAATTTCATCTATTACTGTCATACAGGCCAACACCTAATTACCATATATGCTACAGTCTCAATACAATGTAGCAGACCAGCAGGAGGGGCTCAGGATGGCTGCACATAAGGATCAGCTTTGCGATGGAGGAGAGGCAGGTTGAAGGAGTTGAGGAGTTAGGTTGAAAGCTTATGCCTTTCTAGTGTCATGGGAGACTAGTTGCATGTTTAGGGTGGATGACAGGACTCAGGCTGGGAGTGTGTGGTGAGAATTGGAAACATTTACTATGAAAAATGATGGAAAGGGCCTGAAAAGACAAATATAGGATTATTGAGCAGTATTGAGGATTCAGTAGAAGGTAGACTCCATAGACATATTAAGCATCTACTTGTAAGTGCCAGCAATTTTCTCCACTACTATTTGGCAATGTAGAGACGGAACTGGAAAGGATAGAAGGCTGGAAGGATGCATTATTGGAGACTGAGGAGAGCCACTAGAACGGGAAAATTGATGAGGATGAAGATGAGGCTATTGAAATGACTGTTCATTGGATCCAGGGAAGCTATGAAATAAAGTGAAATCAAGAGGATCCCAGATGAATCTGAAAATGGGTATAACAAGCTTGAGACTGGGGAAATGGTAGAAAGGAACAAGGCTGTAATCTGCAGTTTCCTGTGGCTGTCATAACAAGTGACTGCAAATAAGGTGGCTTAAGACAACAGAAATGTAGCCAAGTGTGGTGGCTCACGCCTGTAATCCCAGCACTTTGGGAGGCAGAGGCGGGTGGATTGCCTGAAGTCAGGAATTTGAGACCAGCCTGGAGAACATGGTGAAACCCCATCTCTACTAAAAATACAAAAATTAGCCAGGTGTGGTGACAGGAGCCTTGTAGTACCTGAGTAGGAGGCTAAGGCAGAAGAATCCCTGAATCCAGGAGGTGGCAGGTTGCAGTGAGCCAAGATTATGCCATTGCACTCCAGCCTGGGGGGAGAAGAGTGCGACTTCATCTCAAAAAAAAAAAAAAAAAAAAAAAAAAAAAGAAGAAAGAAAAGAAAAAGAAAAAGAAATGCTTATTTCACAGTTCTAGGGGATAGAAGTCTGAGATTAAATAGTTAGCATGGGCAGTTCCTCCTGATTACTCTAAGAAGAATGTGCTCTGTGCCTCTCTCCCAGCTTCTGGTGGCTGCTGGTGGCAGTCCTAGGTGTTCATGGCTTGTAGATATCTTACTTCACACTCTGCCTTTGTCTTCAGGTCACCTTATTCCCTGTGTGACTCTTCTTCCCTTCCCTTACAAGGACACTGGCCACTGGGCTTAAGGCCCACCCTAATCCAGGACAATTTCATCTGCACATCCTTAACTTAATTACATCTACAAAGACCCTTTTGCCAAATAGGTCATGTTCAAAGGTTGAGGGTGCGCTGGGCATGGTGGCTCACACCTGTAATCCCAGCACTTTGGGAGGCCAGGCAGATCTCTTGAGCCCTGGAGTTCAAGACCAGGCAACATGGTGAAACCCTGTCTCTACAGAAAATGCAATAATTAGCTAGGAGTGGTGGTAAGTGCCTGTAGTCCCAGCTACCTGGAAGTTCTGAGGTGGGAAGATCACCTAAGTCAGGGGAGATTGAGGCTGCAGTGAGCCTGATGGCACCACTGTACTGCTGCCTGGGTAACACTGTGAGACTCTGTCACGAAAAAGAAAGAAAACAAAAGAAAAGAAAGAAGGAAGGAAGGAAGGAAGAAAGGAAGGAAGGAAGGAAGGAAGGAAAGAAAGAAGGAAGGAAGGAAGGGACATCCCAAAAAGAAAGAGAGAGAGAAAGAAAAAAAGAAAAAGAAAGAAAGAGGAAGGAAGGAAGGGAGGGAGGGAGGAAGGAAGAAACGAACGATCGAACGAACGAATGAACGAACTTACTTCTTGGGTAGTTCTAATGTGCAGCCAGGATTAAGAAAAAATGCAGGTAAGGGTAAATGATGACCTTCATCATGAAGTAGTGACTGGGAACCAGGGTTGCTCCCCTCCATCAAGGCCTAAACAAGATGCACCTGGGAAAGAGACTTCAGCACTTTCTCGCAAATCCCTTCAGGTCTCAAGCAGAGCCAGGAAATTCAAAAATAAGGAAAAGAGAGGTTATATTGCCTGGCTTCTGACTGAGGTCCCAACCAGCCTGGAGTTCTGTTCTTGTTCAAGCCTACACAAAGGATATATTTCAAATGGTTTTCAGCAGGAGAAGACGTCAGAACTCATATCTAAAACAGTTGCTATTCCTGCAAGACAAGACTTTTTCCCCCAAAAAAGATTTTCTTAATATATGTGGAGAAATATCTTTTGCCAGAACAATATTCAGTGGCTTACGTTGTAATTTTTGAACATGTAATAAACGCATTAAAATTTTCAAGCAGTTTAAAAGGTTATACAATTAAAAGTAATTTTTAGACAGGTGCAGTGGCAGGTGCCTGTGGTCCCAGCACTTTGAGAAACCAAGGTAGAAGGATCACTTGAAGCCTGGAGTTTGAGACCAGCCAGGGCAATGTATTGAGACTCTATCTCTACAAAAATTACAAATAATAAGCCAGGCCTGGTGGCTCACACCTGTAATCCAAGCTGCTCAGGAGGCTGAGGCAGGAGGATCACTTGAGCCCGGGAGTTCAAGACTAACCTGGGCAGCATAGTGAGACCCCCATCTCTACAAAAAAATTTTTAAAAATCAGCCAGGAGTAATGGCATGAGCTTGTAGTCCCAGCTACTTGAGAGGTCAATAGAGCCCAGGAGTTCAAGGCTTCAGTGAGCCATGATGGTAACTCCGCACTGCACCATCAGTGATAGAGTGAGAACCTGTCTCTCTAAAAAAATTAAAAAGTAATTCTCACGTATCCCCCATCTTCTAATTCTGCACTCATCTCGAGTGTGTTCCCTAGAAGCAACTGCTTTTATTGGTTCCTATGTATCCTTCCTAAGATATACAAGCTGTATCTTGCCTGTTTTCATTTAACACTATATGTTGGAAATCATTGTATATTAATGTATACAGATCTACCTAACCCTATTAATTGGCTATTCCACAATTTATCTAGCTCACAATGATGGAGGTTTAGATTGTTTCCAGTCTTAAGCAAACAGGTTAAAGATTAAATAAGAAAAAAAGCCTATAATCCCAGCACTTTAGGAGGTTGAGGTGAGAGGAATGCTCAAAGCCAGGTGTTCGAGATTAGCCTGGCAACTCAATGGTGAGACCCTGCTCTATTAAAAAAAAAAAAAATGGAAAAACTTAGCCAGGCATGGTGGTGCACACCTGTAGTCCCAGCTACTTAGGAGGCTAAGGTGGGAAGATAGCCTGAGCCCAGGAGTTAGGGGCTGCAGTGAGCTGTGACTGCACCACTGCACTCCACCCTGGGCAACAGAGTGAGACCCTGTCTCAAAAAGAAAAGAAAAATCAACAAGATTCAAAGTGGGTCCCTCACCAGGTGAGAGCTTTGAATGGAACAAAGGAGAGGAAGGGGATGCCACAGGTCCCTGGGTGGAGGGGCTGATGTCACTGGGCCTGAGGCCTGGCCCCAGGGAAACCTGCTTATAATGTGTTCCTTCTGCCCACACAGGAGCCTGATGCCCAGGACCCTCGAGAGCCAGATCACGCTCGAGAAGACACCCAGCTACTTTGTCACTCAAGAGGCTCCTCGACGCATCTTCAATATGTCCCGAGACACCAAGCTGATTGTGGTGGTGCGGAACCCTGTGACCCGTGCCATCTCTGATTACACCCAGACCCTCTCCAAGAAGCCAGACATCCCGACCTTTGAGGGCCTCTCCTTCCGCAACCGTACCCTAGGGCTGGTGGACGTGTCCTGGAATGCCATCCGCATTGGCATGTACGTGCTGCACCTGGAGAGCTGGCTGCAGTACTTCCCGCTGGCTCAGATTCACTTCGTCAGTGGTGAGCGGCTCATCACCGACCCGGCTGGCGAGATGGGGCGAGTCCAGGACTTCCTGGGCATTAAGAGATTCATCACGGACAAGCACTTCTATTTCAACAAGACCAAAGGATTCCCTTGCTTGAAAAAAACAGAATCGAGCCTCCTGCCTCGATGTCTGGGCAAATCAAAAGGGAGAACTCATGTACAGATTGATCCTGAGGTGATAGACCAGCTCCGGGAATTTTATAGACCTTATAATATCAAATTTTATGAAACTGTTGGGCAGGACTTTAGGTGGGAATAAGCCCACAGAGGAAAGGGCTCTCAAGGGTTCTGCCCATCTCTTCCATGAGATTTGCTCCCAGACCCTCTGATCTTCTCCCTCCAACAAACCTTGGCTCTAGCCCCCTTTCCCACCTTGAGTTGCATCATCTTGGAACCGGGCAGCCCAGCTAAAGCCAAGAGACCAGAAGGTCCCTGCCACTAGCTCTCAGCCTGCTCAAGCAAAGTTGATCTGCTCCTGGCATGTCCAGTAAATTCCAGAATCATTCTCCTTTCTGCCCACAAGAGGCCTTGGGGAATTGCTTTAAGAGTGAATGTTCCAATGGTGATAGATATTATAAGCGATGATGGTTCTGTTGCTATGAACACAGCAGCTGGTCCCTGTCATTGTCCACCCAGGAGTGGCCTTGTTAATTCCAAATGGCATGTATCTTCCCTCTGAGCTTCATTTCTTCAAGATGCCCTGGGTAGTGGGATGGGAGACCATCCTCAGTCCTCCTCAGACCTTAGCAACTCATTCAGAGATTGCAAAGCTGAAGGCACCACCCTGGCCACTCCTGGGAGACAGATCCTTTGGTGATGAAATGAACTAGTGACTTCAGAGCCTGTGGTCTCAACGGTGCTTGAAGGACACTGTCTCTGAAAACCACTTTGTGATTCTCCCTGCTCCCTGTGGACAAAAGCACATAATTCTGCTGTTACGGGTACTTTGCTCATGCGAGCTTTCATGTTCAGCATGCAATGGAATCATGCTTGTCCATGTGAAATAAATATAGCTCTCTCGTGTCCTTAATGCTGGGCTTTTCCCTGTAAGCTGGGTCTGCAGCACAGTTTATTCATTCAGTTTCTCCCAGTGCAAGAAGGCAGCTAGTGCTGGGGGTGGTCTGGGGGTCAGGGAGGAGGCCAAGGACTACATGGGGCAGAGGCAAGGCAGTGGAGATGGGGAAAGAGGTTCTTGATGGCAGAAGCTGGCAGAAAGATCATGTGAGATCTATGGAGACATCCTTTATCTGAAACATAAGTCTGTGTTCATTCTCTGCTTAGAAATTTTAGAACAGAAGTGCCACACTGAAGGTCCGAGGGTTGATGGGGCATCAGATATCTTTTTGCTTGGCCAGCATGATATTTTGAAATAACTGTCAACAGTTAGAAAGTGGGAGCATTCATATGTAAAAAGTATGTATTTCCAGCTTCTTAGAAAAAAAAAAGAGAGAGAGAGAGAGACTTGGCTACACTGAGCCTGCCCCACAGCATGGCAACAACTGGCTTCTGCCTTTGGATGGGGCTTGCACGCCCCAGTTTTACAGCTCCCATGTAGGTACCCTCCCTTGCTGATTTGTGTCATTTGTCAGGCTCCTGTAGGCATTTGGGTTCCCAGCCCTGCCTTCATTGTGTCTCAAAACCTCCAGTAAAGCCCAAATCCCCCATCATGGCGCCCAAGATGACCCCAACTTACAGTTTCTCCTTTACCCTCTGCTCCAGCCTCACAGAACAATGTGCCTTTTCTTGAGTCTTTCAAGTCCCCTTACCTATTCCCATGCCATTTCCTTCACCTGGAATGCTTTCCCTGACACGTTTCCAGCTAATGGAAACCCGTGCTCCCAGTAAGACTTCACTCAAGTGTTGTTTTCTAGATATTTGTGAAGCCTTCTCCAGCTAAGCTATCTGCTCACTCTTCTGTTCACTTGGGAGCTTGTACATGACTCAATGGCAGCTTTTATCACACTAGATTATAATTATTTGTATAAATGTCTGCCTCCACCATAAACCATGAACTCCTTGAGAGTCAAGACTGTGCCTTGCTAAGATATAGTAGGCACATAGCAGATGTTTGATGGTTGAATGTGTGAGAGGGTGGATGGATGTTGGAGGTCTGGAACTGTGGATGAGGATGTTTCAAGGAACTGCATTTCTGGGGGATGCTTCCCAGATAGCTCCATGTATCCATAGGAAACAAAGGATTGCTGAACATCTGGGGACCGCTTGGACCTTATGTGTTCTGTCAGGCACAGTAGAAGCTCCCTGAAAATCAGATATACTTGTAAGGGTAGAATACACTAACGCATAAGACAATAATTCTGCATCTTGGCCTATCTTCCTTACCCAAGCATCTTACAGGGAATCAAATCACTGGACCCATGGCACCAAGAAATCATTTCTGCAGGTCTGCCTCTCCGTGCTTCCCCTGTGGATCTGGAGAAGTGACAGGGTGGAAGCCATTCCTGCTTGGAAACTGGGGCCCTGACCCTCTGGTGATCAGAAGAAGGGTGGATTGTATATGGGCATTAATTAATTGCCCTTATACATTTCCCTTCCAAAAGGGTATTTGGTGTTCGGTGACTCTGAGCCACATAGGAGCCAAAGCCATATCCAATTGGAGACAGAAGTGCATTGAGACACAAAGGAATCGCCTAAGAGTCAATGAAAATTTGCTTGTTTATTCTGATTGGGAAGAGTTCAGTCAGAATTGATGAAACTTTTGAATTTTGTGCGCATAAATGCAGTTTTATTCCTTTGCGTGACAAGCACTCTCAGATTGCCCAGACTAAGTAAATTTCAAGTATTAATTAATAGGTATGAGTCTCTTGTAATTAGCATCTCAATCATTGTATGCAAATGGAAGATGCTTAAAAATCCTAGTTTAAATGAGTAAAATCTGGAGTACATGAATCTGCTCAGCAAACTCTGATTTTTTAATCCAGTGCAAATGGACCTTTTACCCAGGCTGCTCCAGGGCAAACTCGCACAAGTTCCAAATGAGTACGCTTTAAATAGATGAAGTTTGAATGTTCAATCTGAAATAAAAAGGCTCCTCAGGGTGTGTGTGTGTGTGTGTGTGTGTGTGTGTGTGTGTGTGTGTGTGTTTGGTTAGGTTGCTGAAACAGAGACACGAAAAGGCAATGTCTTAAAAGACTGAAGTGTATTTCTCTCTCACTAACAGCCCAGAGTGGACGGCAGTTCTGTGACACCAGAGAATGGAGACCCTTGCATCCTACTATATCTGCATTCCACTCAGCAAGAGGAGGGTGTAGAAATAAATGAAGACTATCCAAAAGAGAACAAGCAGAGGTCATTGATTCAGAGCTTGCTCTAGCAAGGAGTCTTACATTTGGCAGAAACTCACAACCTTACAGAACAGTGGGAAAGCTTCATAGTGGAAAAGAGAGAAGGCGTCAGGAGTGCCTCACTGGAGGTAGTTGGCATAGGAAAGCTGCAAGTGGGCTCATTAGAAGTGGGCCATCTGGCTGGGTGCAGCAGCTCACACCTGTATCCCAGCGCTTTGGAAGGCTGAGGCTGGCAGATCCCTTGAGCCTAGGAGTTTGAGACCAGCCTAGGCAACATGACAAAACCCTGTTTCTACAAAAAAAAAAAAAAAAAAAGAGCCTGGCATTGTGCCACGCTCCTGTAATTCCAGCTACCTGGGAGGCTGAGGCGAGATGATTACTGGAGCCCAGGGAGGTCGAGGCTGCAGTGAGCTGTGATCACATCACTGCACTGTAGCCTGGACATCTAAAAAAAGCAAGCAAACAAACAAAAAACCCAAGGCGTCTTACGTGATAAATTCATAGTCATATGTGACTTTCTGTAGTTAGTCCTGAGTTAGAATTAGGGACAAAAAATAGAGGAGCTGGCAGTTATTGACCAGGTCTTGCTCATTCTGGGCCAGTTGCTGCAGGGGTTGTGGTCTGGCTTCCCAAGCTGGTTGCTGAAGAGGTTGTGGGTCAGAGTTCTATTGCCATTGTTTGTTGGTCCATTAAGTCTCTTAGAAGCAAAAAGGGGCACAGGAAGAACATGCCTCTTCCATTTGAGGTTGCAACATCATTTCTGCTCACAGCAACTTCATACTGTGAATGGTGCCTCCTACAGCTGTGCAAAGGTAGTGGTACCACCTTGACTTACATCCTCCTGGGTAGAACGTAGTTATTTGGTCACACTTAGATATGAGGGACGCTGGGAAATGTAATCTTTAATTTGGGTGTTACTATGCTCAGCTAAAATTAGGATATTCTACAAAAGAAGGGGAGAACAGATATTGAGGGATATGTAGCTGTCTTGCCACAGAACCTTATCCACATAGCAAAGCCTCCAGGTATTTCTGGTTCTCTCTGTGGCTTTGTGTCAATACGTGAGTATGCTTCTCCACACATATTAGAATGTGTCTGTACCTGTTTAAGTCCCTGCTTTCTTTCCTCTGCCTCTGTCTAAGGACAATATGGTATAGAAGCAACCACAACTTGCTCAGATCCAATAGGTCTGAGTTTGAGTCCCACCTCTGTTATTTCCTAGCTATATGACCTTAGGGAAATGATTTAACTGCTTTGAGCCAATTTTATCATCATTAAATTGGGACATAAATTTGTACCCATGGTAAGGGGTTTGTGGTGAAGGTAAGTGAGAAAACACTTGCCTTCCACATAGTAGGCACTCCATTCATATTCCCTTTATTCCTGGCAGTGGAACCCACCAGAGCTCCGATACTCCTGTTGGCTGAGATCAGCTGCAGCTCTAATAGAACTACAGAACTGCTCATAGCAATTTCCTTCATCCTATAAATGGGTGAATTAAGTCACTTTCCCAACCTAGGATCAAGTGGCTCAGTCTAAATGCTGGGCTCCAGATATCTCTGGCCAAACAAACCCAGTACCTATACCCCTAGAGTAAGGTGCTCGCTCACTCTGATTTTCCCAGGACAGATCCAGTTTATTCCTATTGTCCTGGCATAATTATCAACATTGCCTCTTTTACTCTCAACCGTGTCACACTTGGGATGGTAAATCTCCGGGTATCCTTATTGTCCCTGAACTCTGACACCAGCTTATTCGTCCTAAAGGGCTAATCCTCAAGATTTCATGTTCATCTCTTTCTTATCGTCCAGTCCTCAGCTCAAATATCCACTCTAAACTTTCCCTTCATCTTCCCAGTCACTCTCAATATTGTAATTCTTTTTTTTTTTTTTTTTTTTCTGAGATGGAGTGTAGTGGCGCGATCTCGCCTCACTGCAACCACATCCACCTCCTGGGTTCAAGCAATTCTTCTGCCTCAGCCTCCTAAGTAGCTGGGATTACAGGCTCCTGCCACCATGCCTCGTTAATTTTTGTATTTTTAGTAGAGATGAGGTTTCACCCACCACGTTGGTCAGGCTGGTCTTGAACTCCTGACCTTGTGATCTGCCCTCCTCAGCCTCCCAAAGTGCTGGGAATACAGGCGTGAGCCACTGCGCCCAGCTCAATTTTGTAGTTTTTTGTAAGTCTATTATAGTACTTATCACTATCTGACATTATATATTAATTTACTTGTTTGGAATTTGTTTCCTCTAGAGGTCTGGGAGCTACATGAGGGTGGAACTATGCCCATGTTTTCCAGCATAGTGCCTGACATACATGAGTACTTAATAATTATTTGAGTAAACAAATGAACTTCTGGGGCTCTCTAACCTGAATGTTAGCTTTTTTGACCCTGTTTTTCAGCTCTATCTTCTGCCTGAAATCCCTCAGGTCTCTTGTGATCTTCATCGCCATCATTTGCCTTTGTGAGAGTTAGAAAAAGGCACTCCTCATTGGCAGATAAACGAGAAAAGGTGCATCTTTGGAATGGACACCGCATTTTGAGTATACAGCACAGTGAATGGAGTACAGATTGGATATCAGCACCCACTCGGCCCCCAACCCCCAGCTGGTATCCTTTTTCTTTTTTGAGAAAGAGTCTTGCTTTGTTGCCAGGTTGGAGTACAGAGGTGCCATCTCGGCTCACTCAGCAACCTCTAACTCCCAGGTTCAAGTGATTCTCCTGCCT